CCTCTGGTAGAGGACCCGAGCTCAGAGGATGAAAGAGACCACCCGCGGAGAGTGAGAAGGGAATTTATTTATTTTTTTTTATGAAGCCATCTAACCATGAAAAAAGAAACTTATTTTCACAACCTCTGCTTTTAATAATTGGTGTCAGCAAGTGAGTGTAACCATGTTTGCTTCTGTTTGTCTGCAGGGTCCCCTGGTTCGATGGCTGAAAGTGAACTTCAGTGAAGCCTTCATCGCTTGGATCCATATTAAAGCACTTAGAGTCTTTGTAGAATCTGTTCTCAGGTCTTCAGTTTTCCTCTCTTTTACCTGTTTGAAGCTGTGCTGCTGTAAATCTGCAGCTCGTATCGTGCCTCGGTGTGGTCATCTCGTGTCGTCTTTTTTTATTTTTCTTCTTCCAGGTACGGGCTGCCGGTGAACTTTCAGGCCATGCTCCTGCAGCCAAACAAGAAGACCACGAAGAAGCTGCGGGAGGTGCTCAACGATCTGTACAAACATCTGGACAGCAGTGCAGCAGCTATCATCGATGTGAGTTCTTTGTTCACACATCTCCTTCAATGGGATTACTCGATCAGATTAGAAAAGCTTTCATAAAAACCCACTCCAGATGTTTAAACTGCTGATCTTCACACACTAACTAACTCTGCTGTCTTTTGGTTTCCTTCTCTAGTCCACGATGGACATCCCAGGCCTGAACCTGAGCCAGCAAGAATATTATCCTTACGTTTACTACAAGATCGACTGCAACCTGCTGGACTTTAAAGTTTAACTCTCATGTTTTTGCTCTTAACGCTGAGTGTTGATTTAATTCTCCCCTCCCCATCAGCTGCTGCATGATCAGTCTGTGTGGTGAAATAAAAACGCTTCTACCACTGATGCAACAAAGACACGCACACAGAAACCTTGTGTCCTGTTTTTTTTAAAACTTATGTTTCATCTTAAGCCATGCGGGTGATTAGCTCTTTTTYATGTGAAGTCTATAAATGACAATGGAAGGTGTATATTTTCTGTCATTCCACGTGTGCTGGTGTGTATTTATAGCTGCCTTTGTGTCAGTGTTCAGCGATTTGCGTTTACGAATGGTCAGCTTTGCCGTTGTTCCCATGTATTTCAGAGAATGTGGGCAAAAGCCTGCAAATGTTGTAAACCAAGATGTTTTCTTGAGTGTGGAGGTGTTTCATGTTGTACYTGCTGTCAATAAGAGCTCTATATCTGAGTAACGTGGAAACCACTGATTGATTCAATATGATTTAAATCTAAAAACCTGTGAGTTTGTGTAAATAAAAACAATCTACAGCCTGAACACTTGTTTATTTCTGATCTGCGACGTCATATGGAGGTGTATGGCAGGAAATTTTAACATAAAATCAGCTTCACTAAGCTTACATTCAATCCAGTTTAGTTTATATAGCACCAAGCCACAATAAATGTCGTCTCAGGGCGCTGAACCGTAAAAATAAAATCTAAGGAAGCCGCAGATTGTGTTGAATCACTTCACAGTCTCCAAGCCTGAGCAGCACATTGGTGACAGTGGAGAGAAAAAACTTAAAACCTCCAGCAGAACCAGGACAGGCTGGTAGTTTTTCAATGCTTTTCAAAAGTTCAKTCTGATTGTCCATCTTTGTGTTATATTCTGTTGTACAAATGATAGCATTACTTGCATCTGCCTTGCCCTCACTAGCTTCATTTTCTTTTGCTTTTGTTCTTAATATGTGTGTGCTTCCAGTTAACATTTTGTTCCTTGGAGGTAGATTCAAAGGCGGCTCCAACTAACTCAGTSTCTTCAATAATATATTTGTCACAAGCCTCTTGAAGAGCCGACAAGGAAAGATAAAGGGGACCGTATATTCAATTCAATTCAAAAATACTTTATTGAACCCCAAAGGAAATGTACAAAAAGATGCCAAGCTATGAACRAAAACGTTTATGTTTTAAATGGAGCAAAAGCACAGAAAATGGATTAAATCTTAGCTAAATAATAATTATATGCCAGAGCTTGCGAAAATACACGACGACTCCACCATATTTCTTTCTCTCTCTCCTCTGAAGTCTGTCCTCCAGACCACTGGTTCCCAATCCTGGTCCTCAAGATCCCCTATCCAGCATGTTACTTGTTTCCCTGCTGTTCAGCAGGTCTTCAGAAGATTGTTAATCACTCATTCATTCAAACCAGGTGTCAAATCAGGGAAACATCTAAACAATGCAGGAAAGGAGTCCTTGAGGACCTGGGTTGAGAATCACTGCTTTAATACATGTTATATGGTTTATTATTTACAAATAAACGGCAAAGAATCAATGGCTTCCAGAGGCAATACTAAAAAACACAAAACTGAGTCAATATTATATTTTTAAAATGTCTCATCAAGCTCAGAGAAGCTCTTGAGGTGTTGGTCAACATGTAAAGCAGTGATTTTTAAATGTTTCCCTGCTTTGACACTCCTGGTTTGAATGAATGAGGGATACGGTTTTTGAAAAAGACAAAATTTATTTTGAAAATGTCTCATCAAGCTCAGAGAAGCTCTT